AACAGTAGAGGTTAAATCTTACTGCAGTCTTCAACTCTGGGTACTGTCTTACGTTTTAAAATCACAAAGGGAGTTTGGATCAATCAGGCTAACGTGACAGTCACGACTCATGCAGCTGTAAGGTTTTCTTTTTCTTTTGTTTTTACTAGCGATTTTTACAACACGCATTACATTACGTATTTCATGGCACACTCGTTTTATGCGTATTTGGCGCCACCTAGTGTTGTGGATAAGACGACCGCGTTTTTTCAGATGTATTTCCAAGAAAAAAATATCGTCTTATATTCGGGACAATACGGTAATTCAAAATATAATTTTGTGTTAACATATGGCTTTTCATACATTTGCCTCCTTATTAATACTTAATAATTCATACATTAAAAAAAGAAAGAAATGCACATTAAATATTAACGAGTGGAATTTTCATTGTTCAATAAATAAAATTAGTAAATCAAAAGAAACAAAACTAGCACAGCTACATTTGGAAATCACTTGACGGGGACAACGTTCAATAAAATGATTTAACAGTCATTCTACAACAATATTTGACTGAAAAATGCTGCAAACAACCAATCACAATCAAGTATTCCATAGAGGCGTGTCCTAATATTGTAGAATCATCTAGTATGTTTTGATAAATAAGTCTAATAATGTAAACACAGTCTCAGTTTCAGCTGCATATCTGTTCACAGTATCAAATCCCATCAGAGGTTTGTTATTTCTGGACTCCTAAAACAGAATTGATGTTCAGTCTACTTGGAAAAAGTTAAAAGGAAGCAAACAGTGTACTCCAGAATGTAGACTCCCATTTCAAACACCCCTCTCATTTCTCATTAAAAACAAATTGTTCACTTGCACCACACAATGATTATTTACACTAGCACACAAATAGGGCCTCTCTAACATCATGTTAAGCGTAATTTACAAATCTCATCAGCAAATGTTGATTAGCCATAGCAATCCTGACTGGAACTCTGTGTCCACTCACATCTTTTATGTAGTTCAAACTAAGGGAAATATTAATCTCAGACTTGAAATATTACTAAAAACGTGCAAATATGAGTCCTAATACCAGTTTGATACATGGCCACTCTAAAAAAAAAATAAAAGAAAAAAATGCTGACATAAATAGCGTGTTGATTGATTGAATAAAGAGACAACACAAAAGTCTGTCAATAAGCCATGTAACAGCAGTCAAATATGAGAGCAATACGCTCCATTCCCTTTCACAAACAGCATGGTTGTTTAATTCTATAAACACAGGAGAACTCGTGCTCTCCATTCCATTTTGGACCTGCGATTTGTAAACAGTGCAGACTGAAGTTACATACTCTGCTTTAAATGGATAGAGACTTAGGAAAGAAGGATGAGAAATGCAGTGACTTTACATAAATAAGCGCTACTACTAAGTAACATCAAGCATGCCGCTCATCCACTAATCACAGAATGCAAAATGCTAACTAGGGGAAACCTTTGCAGTAAACCCCACACACAGCAAACTGTAAACAGAATGTTGCAATATTCCCAGTAATCCAGCTGTGTTTTTCTTATGAACCTTGTG